ATTCTTTCTGACCACGGTCACACACGAACACCTTACGGACAAACTGAGGAAGGCAAACGTGAACTTTATCATCCCCTTCTCTTCATGATAGTACCGCACTACGTCGCAGGTTTACTGGGAAAACAACGAATGGAAGCATTGGTCGCAAACCAAAAACGCATCTTAACAACCCTTGACATAAACAAAGCTTTAATGTCTTTACACGACGAGAAAACAAAGTTTTCAACTGAYCATAAWGTCAATGGTATTTTCTCGAAAATCCCAGCCAATCGAGCATGTGGGGACCTGCCATTAATGCCTCTTGCTCGGTGCCAGTGTGAAGGATCCGATTCGAAAGTGCTGGATAACTCGAATACTCACCGATGGATGGCGGAGTTTGCATTAGGAACTCTTAATAATATTATCCAAGAACAGTATTTTAAAGGTAAGGGCTTTCGTTACAATCTTTTCTTCTACTCTACTCTCCTCTACTCTGCGCTCTACTCTGATCTGCTCGGTTTTGCCTTGCTTGCCCTGCCCTGCCCTGCCCTGCCCTGCCCTGCCCTGTCCTGTCCTGTCCTGTCCTATCTTGCCCTGACCTGCTCTGTCTATTGGCATTACAGTATAAAATATTATAGCACGTTATTTTCTCTTCTTTCTTAATAAGGAATTAACACCTCGACGCCTAACCCAGTTAAGGGTTTTGGCAACTGCGTCCGCTATGTCGGCACATCTTTCCGCAATATCATACAAAGTACAAGTGGTACCATGACAACCATGGACCTCCATATTGATGCTAAAGAAGTAGGTTTAAAAGAAGACGAAATTACCAGGGCTGCTGTGGAATTCAACGGTAAAACCCTTAGTCTAAAGTCCTATGAAAGGCAGACGTTGTACAACAAATTCAAAAATTGCGATGATAAGAGCGTCGACTTGAAAYTCTGCATCTGCGATAAAAATAAAGCTCCGAGTGAAAGTGGGAAGCCTCGTGTCTTGGAAACAGCAAAAATGAAGGAGTTCGTATCGTCTCCAATGTTTGGGACCGAAAGCAAAATCAAGGATTTACACGGTGGATGTTTGTTTCAAATTACGAGACAGCACTCGAGTAAAATAAGTGTTGTTTACGAAGTTGCTAACTCTTGCGAAGGGAAGACTTTTAAAATAAGCGTTGAAGGATCATTGGAATACGTTTTTGTATCGAGACCGTTACCTTTTCAAATAACTGTCGAGCCAAACAGTATATATTTTATGTTTTCTGCAGTACGCCAAATCCTTAATCATAGTCACATGGATATTACAATAACAGCTGCCCAGGTCTAGCAATGTTCGATCCTATTTGGTCGGAAATTTCATGCTATGCGCCTCGTAGCTAGAACATTAATAATTTTCACGTACGGGTCGCGGTAAAGAGCTAGCTGAAACTAAAACGATGGCTGAAAAGGCTGAGAGAGCTGAAGCAGCTGGAATAGCCGAAACGGCTGAAAATCATAAAAATCCATTTTATGGGAAGGGAAGGACGGAAGACCCAGCCCCCTACCCCAGGGACTTTTGACTCGTAACCAATCTTSCCGGATAATCGACACGGACAGAAAGACGGACAGTGACCAAGGGAAATAGAGGGACTGCTCCCAATCTAGATATTGATAATGCTATCGATGCCCAGTTGCTTTGAAAGGTATCCTCGCACCATGAAAACTTTATCTCACAACCCAAACTTTATCACCCAACAAAACTTCCATGAACTAGCACAAACTTCGAGGCTTAATATTCACTAGACTGTAACCTATATTACTGCATTGTGACAGATCTTAATACTTGCATACTTTTTGATAATTACAACACGCAGCCGTAAAGCACTGAATTAAAATGAATTGTACTCGATTTATATATTTATATACATATTTATAGATGTAAACGTTTCGGTTTGAATACATAAATGCTGGATTTTTATGATTTTCAGCCGTGTCAGGTTTTTTTTCAATTCTTCGATTGCACGTTACGTCATCGCGGCAATGTTGGTGCCAATTAACAAAAGATTTCTCATTAGCATTCATTGTTAAAGGCACCACAATGGCCGCCATGTCTTTGTCTTTTGATTCTCCTGGGAATGCTTGCAACCCATCAATTGCATAAATCACATGTCTTAATGATCATAAGGACTAATGAAAATAACGTAATTAGCAATTAGTCCTCGAGCTCGAGTGGGCTAAAGACTTTATTAGTGGTGTGACAATTGTTTCCTAATTGAACGTGACAAACTTCTATGGAAATAAACAGTTATTGTTTTGAAATTCGTCGGGATATCACCGTTATTCCTTTCGTATCCTTTGGGATCTCAATAATTTTTCAAAGAATAAAAACAAAAGAAAATGAATCCTCTAGATGTTTGTCACGCTGAATTGACAAACATTGTCACACCACGAATAAGTAGTATTCACTCAGGCCATGAGGGAAAGACGACTAATTGGTKTAGTCAAATCCAACTAGTCGGTCAAATATATTGATGCAAACTAGTTTTGAATTCAAATTAAATACAATGTTTTCATTTTGGTTCTCAAACACGCGTGGGTTATACCAAATACAGACCATTTTATCAACGTTGCGTGCGCATGCAAATTTAAGGACGGGCCAYGATGCCAGAATACAAGTATTATTATCCATTGTTATGAAATTTGTTTCYATAAGAGTTCATAAAAATCAATTATTCTCCTCTTTAAATATAAGGCCCCGTTCACGCGTATCCGCCAATYTTTTTTGCGGATGCGGGTTGCGTCCACACGTGTCCGGAAATTTTTGTATCCGTATCCGCAAATTTTCGAATACGATGACGTAAACACGATTTTGCGCATGCTCAATAAAAAAAACTATCCGTCAAAGGGACTAGGCACTAGCGTGCATCAGGGCGGATCATGAAATTTCCGGATACGTGTGGACAGTGAAAACGATTCGAATACTGCATGTGGACGCGAACATTGTCGCATCCGCAAAAAAAATTTGCGGATACAAAAATTTCCGGATACGTGTGGACGGGGCCTAAAACTGCCAACTGTGTGGCCCGTCACGTTGGATGCGCACGCAACCTTGAGAAAACGGTCTATTTTGATAAATGTATATAAAGAATACTTGGACACATATATTTTTAAACCTAGTTTGTTACATACGAATCTCTTGTTTCGTACAGGGTAGACATGCACTATTCAGTGCATGACTAAGAGTGGTTTAAGGAGAACACTACTGACAAAGAATCGTAGAACATACTCTGCCATTCTATGTCCATCTTTTCACATTGTTTGGTAGAGATTGTGTCTTTCTGGGTGTCTACATTTGTATAGGAAATCGCACGATCTTGAGTACAATTCAGAATTTATAGGCACGAGTGATGTTTTGAAAGTTTTCAAAATGAGACRAGCCTTTAGGGGAGTTTCAAAACTTCACGAGTATCTATAAGTTCAGAATTGTACGAAGAGAGTGTGCGATTTTTTGTTTATAATACACTCAAAACAAATTGAGCAAAAATTGGGACTCTACAGAGTACAATTTGGGATTTAATTGTACTTCTCTCGTACAATCAGAATCGAGTAATATTGTAGAGTGCATTATAAACTGAGTGATTCATTCTGTTTGTTCAAATACGGTGATTATGGATGGCGTAATATTATAAAATAATTTTCCGAAAATTATTTTATGCTCATGTGTTGAATACCACCAAGGATAGTTGGAAAAATATTACATACTTATTGACTGAGTTGGAGGGCCGTACGGGAAAATATTTGGTTCGAGGTGATGCTGTACGGAGGTCCGTACAAACGACCGAGAGCCAAATATTTTCCCGTACGGCCCGACCCAACTCAGTCAATAAGCATTTTATCATATGACTCTAAATAAAAAAGATATGTTAAAAGTTGCAAATTATGCTAATACGATCGCAGGTTTCGAGCAAGGCCGTACGGATTTGTACGGCCCTGCTCACGCCATTTTCCCGAAGGTTTTTTTAAGAGCG